ACACATACACATTTTTCTTCAGGAAACCAATCTCTTAAATATTATACTATGTTAATCTTTTTGGAAAATTATAATATATCTATATCATATTCTTTCCATTCCCAACTCTTCCCAGATCATCCCCACTTCCATACTCACCCAGCTTCATCTTCTTTCTCTCAAAATAAAATAAAACTGCAAAAATCAAAACACTCCTAACAGTAACGTTGTTTGTAATTGAGACCCAATGGAAAAGGGAAACAAGTTTTCTCCAATGTAGTGTCAATGGATATATCAACCACACTCCAGAGAAACCCCATTACCCAGGAGTAGTGGTGAACACAAAACAGACTCTGGGTTTGTTGTTGTTGTTTATCTGTGATTTTTGTTTTATTATAGCTTTTAAAGATGTCTAGTTCCCAGGGTAAAATAAAAGGGGCCAATAAAAGTCAAAAGAGAAAAGACAAATGTTGAGAAATACAGAAACAAGTAGATAAGAGACATAGACATATATCTCTTTAAACCCTTGTCTGGACTCTGTAGACAAATAAGAAATCCACTCACAGCTTTGAATGGCCCTGTACCTCCAGAAGCAATCTGCTATGGTGTACATCAAGAATGCATATGCATGGTTCTGGAAAAACTGACCCCACACCATTCACTTGACCAGCATCCTGTTTTACAGAGACCTAATGAAATATGTTTTTCTTCATATATATTTGTGTTTGATGTGTGCATTAGTGCATGGATGTTCACGCGTATGAGTGCACATGTATGGACATGCACTTGCACATGTGTTTGGAGGCCAGGGTTCTTCCTTAATCAGATGTCTTCCTTAATCCTTCTCACGTCTTTGTACTGATTTATTCATGAGTTATCGCTATACCCAGAGCTCATCAACACCACAGATCTAGCTAGTTAGCTTTTCCCAGAGGACTTCTGCCTCCACCTTGCAGGTGTTAAATCAGAAACAGGTTGCTACATTTTTAAAGAGGTCTGTCCACCTTCTTATTTGGGTGCTCAGGATTCTAACTCTAATCTAAAAGGTTATGAGGCAAATGATTTGCCTTCTCCTCAGCCCCTGGAAGGATTTCTTAATAAACTAAATGGATTTTTTTTTAGTAGACCTTGACTGAATTCAGGTTTCTTTTTTAAATTTTGTTATTACTATTTTATGGGTACAGATGTTTCGTTTGCACATGTGCCTGTGCATCGTGGGCATGCCTGATGAGCCAGAAGCCAGAGGATTCTTAAGATTGGAGTTACAGATGGTTCTGAGCTGTCGTGTGGGTGCTGGGGATTAAAACCTGGGTCCTTTGCAAGAGCAGTCAATGCTCTTAACCACAAAGCAGTCTCTCTAGCCTCTTGGGTGGTTCCCCCCCGCCCCCAGATGTGTCCTCTGTTACTTTCCATCCACCACACATTTAGGTAACAGTGACAAAATATCACATTGAACTTCTCTATTTCTTGAGTGGAAATATTCCAGACTGGAAGCCATGCCAGGCATTTTACACACAGTCATCATACTGAACGCTCACAGGTCAATTGGGAGATTTCCAAACCAGGTTGCAGTTTGGAAAACCTAGACTCGGGTATGATAATGAGGCACTCATACAAACCCATAGGGAACAGACTCGGAGCTCTGTGCTAGCACCATTTAATTGCCTGCCCTACCTCACTCGTGAAGACTGTCTCCAACGTAGTCAGTTTCCACCCCTAGGAGCTCCCATAGATCCCACCTTCTTCCTGAGCCGCACTGTGTCCAACATCATCTGTTCTGTCGTCTTCGGAAAACGCTTCGACTATGAGGACCAGCATTTCCAGAGCCTCATGAAGATGATCAATGAGAGCTTTGTGGAGATGAGCATGCCCTGGGCACAGGTGCTTACCAGTTACTAGCCAGCCGAATCCCTGCTCACCCTCCATTCTCAAAGCCAGCACAGTCCCATACTAACCCTCCTCCCCTCATCCCTTGGAGGTACTTAAAATTTGCCCAAGTATTCAAGAAGCAAACAGTAACACCCACGTCTCAGGCCCAACAGTACTCTATTTAGTGAGATAGGGTGTCTTTGTGTAGCTCAGGCTGTTCTTAAACTGCTGATCCTCCTCCTCAGTCTCCCTTGTGCTGGAATTAAGAGAGTTCCCAAGCTCCAGCCACAGACTTTGAGCCTAGCTCAATGACATTAGAACTCTGCCCATCTGGTCTCTGATGCCCATAACTGACACATGCCCCCTTTGCCTCTGCCCCACAGTTATATGACATGTACTGGAGAGTCATGCAGTATTTTCCAGGAAGGCACAACCACCTTTACAACTTAATAGAAGAACTTAAGGACTTCATTGCATCCAGGGTCAAGATCAATGAAGCATCTTTTGACCCCTCAAGCCCTAGGGACTTTATCGACTGCTTTCTCATCAAGATGTACCAGGTACCTCTTACACCAGTCTTTCTGTCTTCTAAAACCTTCATTCTTGCCATATCAAAATCCATCTGCAACTGTGTGGGGAAAACAAGAGAAAGTACTATTTCGTGTAGTTTACTTTGATCTCTAGATAAAATATTAAAAACTATAGAAACATAAGCCTCTTGCACCCTTAAAATAAACTCCCTTAAAATTAATAAAATCGGATTTATTTTGGCATGCACTATGTATTTGTCAGGATTCTCTAGAGCAGTTGTTCTCACCCTTCCTAATGCTGTGACCCTTTAATAGGGTTCTTCATGTTGTAGTGACCCCAACCATAAATTCTCTCATTGCTACTTCTTAAGTGTAATTTTGTTACTCTGATGAGTCGTGATGTAAATATTTTATATGTGACACCTTTTGGGGTTGTGACCCACAGATTAAGAACCACTGCTCTAAAGGAACAGAATTAACTCTGTGTGTGTGTGTGTGTGTGTGTGTGTGTGTGTGTGTGTGTGTGTAGGATTTATTAGAATGGATTACAGGCTATGTGTCATTAGGTCTACCAGTAGAAGGTCCAAAAATCTAATAATTGTTCAGTCTGTGAGGCTGAATGTCTCAGCTGGTCCTCAGTATATAGAAGAATCCTGGAGAAGTCGGCTCCAACGCCAATGAAGGAAATAGACTTGTCAGCAAAAGTGAAGCCAAGCAGGCAAAGAGAGAGCTAGCTTCCTTCTTTCATGTCCTTTAGATAGACTGCCAGCAGGTGTGGCCCAGATTAGAATGGATCTTCTCACATCAAAGATCCAGATTAGTAGGTCTTCCCACTTTAAAAGATTAAATTAAAAAAAATTTAATCTCCACAGGTGTACCCAGCCATTTGGGTTTTACTTAGTTCCAGACATAGCCAA